CATTCCTAGCATGTTTTTATATTTTGTTTTCAAAAATAAATTAACTTGGTTTTAAAAACACTCAAAACATCTAATTTTTCTAAGTGTTTATAGAAACAACTAAACAAGTTATACTGTATCAAACATATTTTACTTCAAATAAAAATATAACTAGAATTAAATTAAAAAAATAGTAATAAAAGTGATCCAAAACGGTCAAAACTTGCGGCCATTACAGTAGAGGCAATAGTACTGATCACCACATAAGTTGCAATAATATAAACGAATGAGACGGTTTTCCAAAAATGTTAGTGTTCTTGATGACTACGGAGAAAGAAAAATATAATGAAAGAGATGTGCTCTATTGGTTCCAGCATGGGGTTCTTCTTTTGTGATTAAGCGCCCCAACCTCAATAGGCCATAACTTCGCCTTGGATGCTATAAATAGATTGTTGAGTCTAACATATGATTGATTATAGCAAAAATGTGCATCATCATCATGAAGGTACAGTTGGATGTGAAATAGCTATTAACTTCAGTAGGAGAAGATAATTTAGAGAGATCAGAAAATGCTAGTCAACGTTTTGAACCAGCCTTCCTCGCCCATCAGTAGGAGAAGATAATTTAGAGATATCAGAAAAAGCTAGTCAACGTTTTGAACCAGCCTTCCTCGCCCATGGTAAGGAAGGGCAACCCAGACAATAATTATGAAGACATAACTTAAAAGGTTAGTGAATATTTTGAGAAGGATATATGTGCCTTAAGGGGATGGTCGGAGTTTTCATCACCATCATTGAGGAGCTATTATGGATAGTTAAGCATCTATATAAGAAAATTTGTGAATTAAAAGTGATGGCAGCGAACTAAGATTTGGATTACTTGAATTCTCTTCGGAAGGTTTAAAATCATTACTTTCATAATTGTAAGATGATCATAGCGAAAATCAGTAGACTAATTGTCAGTAACCTATAGTTTCCTTAAGTGATATTTTCTTCCATTTAAGGGTGATCTATTAGAATTTTTAGCCACTCTAAGGTCCATAATAAAGTCATTCATTCATGGAGATATCCAAGAAATGGCTACCCCGATGAAATTAGACATTAGATTTGAAGCTTGAGATAGGGTTTTACAATCGACAATTATTAAATTTAGGTTAAGTATACAAAACCCTGAGTCTAATTTTTTCTATATAATCTGAACCAATCTGTTTTGCTTTCCTTATGCTACCAATGATGGAGTGGAGCTTAATATCCTTAGAGTGGTGAGGAGCCATCATAAAGCTATGGTGGTAATGTTGCCCAAATACCTCCGATATGTTTGGCTAAAACAGACAAGTTTAGTTACAAATTTAATCATTTACAATGATCTTGATATATTATTTGGGATTATATATAGTGTCAAAGAGGAAGCTCCCAACATCTCCACTAGATGTTAAATACCAATAAGCAGATACACATTCAATTAGGCTCGCATGTTGTGGGTACTTTCTCGGTAAACTGTAGTATATGAATCTAAGTGGTTTAACAAAAAAATAAATACTTTAATAAAAGCTCACTTTTAAGCAAAATGTTACTTGATTTTGATCAAGTAGGGGTACATTGAAAATGGATGTGTTGAACTATTTTTATAGATGCCAAAAATAAATGGCATGGCATGCTTAAGAGAAAAAGTTAATTGATATGATTTTATAAATAATTTTTTAAATCAATATAATTTATTTCTTTTAAATGGTAAAAGTTGAAAGAAAATTTGTTTTTTTGAAAAAAGATAAACATGACATTTCTGCATTAAGGAAATATTTTCAAATCATTCAAAAACTCATTTTAAATCTCACAACACAATATTCTTGTATCAAAGACATTTTTCAAATTACTCAAAATCTTTTTCAAATCTTGCCGCAACATCTAAAGCACACTCATCACTTTCTAAACCACAACATAGAAAATTCAAGCAAAAAAAGTATTAAAAGCTAAATAGCAATAAGTAAAGCATAAGCAAGCTTATGTACATTGGTTAGATTGTCAATGGCCTACATCCACCCCATTAGGATCACTTTATTTTTTATTTTTTATTTTTTATTTTTATTTTGGTTTTCTTATGTTCTGATTAGAATAAAACATGTTTGATTTTGGTAATTGTTTTTAAAAATATTCAAAGCATCTTTTAGGTTTCTTATGTCCTTTTAAAAATAAAAAAAGTGATTTATCTTAAAAATAAATAAAAAATTGTAAAGATTATACTAGCCAAACAAGTTTTTAAACATAAAAAAAAAATTAAAATAAAAGTAATGCCCAATGGGTCTTAAATTATGTTACGATTTTTCATTATTCTCTCTTTCTTTAGAGTAGGATGCTCTATCCTTCACTAGTAATGGAGAATAATTAAAATCACTTTTACTCAAAGCAAGAAGCCAGTCACTCTTAAAACCATGGTAAGGTGAATAAGACCTTTACAGTTCTTTTTCCAGATTCAATATCTCCCACAAGAAGCAAACAAAATCTCTCAAACAATCATATTTGTGAACATGAGGATTAAAACGTGTCGAATAAAAAAAAGATAAACAGTAATGTATTCTCAATTTTCTTCTTTAGCAATTCTCTCTCAAGAGTTTCAAGTGATGTCTGATGAGTTCCCTCCAAAACATTTTCATTTAAGATTTATTGCAGGTGTTTATATTAGGTTCATCAATTATCAGTTCAAACCCTAAGGCTTCTTAAATAAAAACAAAAAGGTATACTAGTTCGACCATCATGCTCAACAAATTCAATTTAAATTGTATAAGCCATTTCAATTGTCATATGACTAATTGGATTTTTTTTGTGAGATTGATCATACAATACAACATATATATTATATCATATAGTGAACTAATTCGAACTTTTAATAATTAATTAAGGCTAATTGATTCCTATTAATTTATAGTGATAATCATGTTGATTGTATCATGTATATATTATATCATATAGTGAACTAATTGGAACTTTTAATAATTAATTAAGGCTAATTGATTCTTATTAATTTATAGTGATAATCATGTTGATTGTATCATATAAGGTATAACAAATTAAATGATTAATTTAAATTTTAGATTATCTTAATTAATATATATTAGTCTAGTTAATATTATATCAAAAATAAGACTAATCATGTAATATAGTATATATCATATAATATAATATTAAGATCAATTTGTATTAATTAATAATATTATCTGATTATAACAAAAATAATCCATCTATAATGTTAAAATCAAACACGATTGACAAAATGATCCACAATCATACAATCCAAATAAATCTAGATAAATTTAGTTTTAGTTGATTATGCAGCATGATCAATTAAGATCAATTTTTACTAGTTTATTCAAGATTTTATTTGTGCTTAACACTCGGTTGTATATATATTGGTCATCTTGGCAACTTAAATATCTAAAAATAGAATACCTAAGTCAAAAAATAAAATTATAGTTGACATCTTGAAGCACAAAGTTTTGAAATCACTTGAGCTTATTTAACTTGCTTCGACAACAAGCATCACTTATGTTGTGAAAGTGCTTCTGAGGGTACTTTTCTCAAGATTTACTCTTTCAACATTTACCTAATGCATAAATTTTATTCAAATGATATTAGTCTATAGCAAATTATGTCTGGAATCATCAAGATATTTAATACAGCCATAGGTTTATGATGTTAACAAACTTCCTCCTTTTCATGATAGCAAACATAATTTATTTATAAATATAATGTTTGGGTGTTGATGTAGATCCTCTTAGAATCATACATTTAATTTTTTTTTTTAATTGCTAAGTAAAATAAAAAATTAAGTTGTACCATATGTATATATAAAAGAAATGTGCTTAATTTGATAATTGAAAAGAATAACTAGTACAACAATATAGTGTAAGTACAAAAACAAAAAAAAATAAAAATTCATATCAAATATTATCATAAAAATAAATAAATAACTAAAAAAGATAACTACTAAATAAAATATGTAATCAAACTATCTACTCCCTCTTTTGATACATCAGAATGAGAGTGTACACAAAACTGCTAAAAAGCAAAGAAAATATGTAATCAAACTAAGTTTGCATTCATCCTATCAAAAGAAATATTGCTTAAAATGACTGGCAGATAAACCCTCGTATTAAAGTATAAAAATAATCGACGTCTTGATTTGTGATCTTGACTTGCCAGTAAAAAACCAAGCAATAAGGATTAGTATGCTTGATGTCCAGCTCAATTTCGAAAAGGCTCCAATCAATGCTTGACTAATATTGGAACCTTGGTCCAAATAAACATTCATGCCCACACGATTCTTAATTCTCACTATAGTTGGAATGTTTGTCGAGATATTTGAAGAAGTAAAAGCTATGACAGCAAAATCTAATGGTGATCATGGGTGAGAATCCCGAAAAAGCAGAAGTTGTTGAGGCCACAAAAATCAAGAACACCCAAAGCCTTACGAAAAATAGTAAAGGACAGAGCGGATTAATTCTCTTAAAATTTAAAACTTAAATCCTAGATTTACTTTTAAGGTCCATCGCATTTCCAAACAAACCCCATTTGCAAATTCCTCCTCCTTCACACTATCAGTACATCAATATCTTCCTCCAATGAGCTCTCGGCCACAAATTCATCTTCTCCATCACATTATGACGTTCTGACTGGTTATCCCCGACAACCCCCTATAATAAACTCTCACACTACGCACGTCGTTGGTCTTATTGATGCCTTCCTTCGTATGTTTAATCTCTGCCAAGAACCACAAACCGTGAGGGCAAGAACGATGATTCTAACGAAGGTTTAAACCAATTCAAATTCAAATGGCTTTCAATCAAATTCAAGTGACTTATAAGCCCAATGAAGGGTTCTCGAAGCAAAAGATTATCCTTTATTTAGAGAAGTTTAATCCAAAATGAACTTTTGACCATATTTCTCCATATGAATATACAACAGATTAATTAGACAACTAGGTATTATGAGACGTGTATAGCCAGTTTTCCCTAATACACTAGAGCATGCAACCAAATGAAACTGAGACAATACCACAAATCCAATAAAGTAAAATCCTACAAATTTAGAATCGAACAGATTTCACATGCACAGCAAGAAAAAGAAACAGTTTCCGTAAGGTCACATTTCCAAAACAAGGGAAAGGGATTTCTAAGGTTACCCTGGAATCAAAAGACAATCCGAAATTGGGGCGCGTTAGACCCAGCAGCCGGGATGATCTCCCAGCGGCAAGGTTCCAACTCATCCGAAACCGGGCAATAACCAGCAAGCGTCACCTTCTCACCAGCTGCCACCGCCGAACCGAATTCGAACACCGTCACGTCCGCCGGCCGACGAACCTCCATTGCGCCGTTTAAGCCTGAAGTTTCCACCGCTGCCTCGGAGGGCTTCGCTGCAACCCCGTCTCCACCATTGTTTGTTGCAGGAGAGTGACCATTCAGTGCTTTCCCTTTCCACCACGAAAGCAGACCCATCGATAGGAGGGCGGTGTAGGTAAGCTGGAACGATACGGAATTGGGGGGGCTTTTTTGGATGGATCATAGAAGTGTTCCCAGGATCTCTTTTACTAATAAGACTGGGGATTTATTAAATTTTAATTATTACTTTGTTTAATATCATAAATTTATGTATCTGAGAAGCTCGAAATAACGAAATAAAATGAATTAATTTATTATAAAAAATTTATTTATTTGGTTAAAATTTCGAATATATTCAATGATAATTTCTTTGAAGTAATCATTTTGTAAACTGAACATTTGCATAATATACTTAAGTGATAGAAATGCTCTATGCTAAATCATTATCAAAATTGTTTTCTCAAAGGCAAACATTATATGTACCACTAGAATATTCTAAGGAGGACTCTTCAATCAGGTTTCCTACCATACTTGAGGAAAACTCGACCATTAAGGTTGAAGAGAACTCGTTAGGCTCAGAATGAAATTAGAGGACTCTTCAATCAGGTTGCCTACCATACTTGAGGAAAACTCGACCATTACGGTTGAAGAGAACTCGTTAGGCTCAGAATGAAATTATCAGACCAACAAAACTTACCCACAATGGCCAAGCCAATGACCTACTTAGGGTCTATTTGAGGCAACTGCAACTTATTAATAAACCGTTGCACAGTAGTTAAGGCAAGAAGCTGTTGTGGATAAGTTGGTTGTCTGTTTGTTAATGTTGCACAGTAGTTAAGGCAAGAAGCTGTTGTGCAAAAGCTGTTGTGGATAAGTTGGTTGTCTGTTTGTTAACCTCACTTTTGGTTGAGGTGTAATTTCCTCCTTAGTAGCGTAAGGTCTAGTCATAGGACTTTTCTGTTGAATATTCCTATATGACTACAATTTCCTCTTTAGTAGCGTAAGGTCTAGCCATAGGACTTTTCTGTTGAATATTCCTATATGACTAGAAAAGAAACCCTCACCAAAACCCTCACCATTAGAAATTCCCATTAGAAATTCTAAACTCTTCTCTACTCAAATTGAAGTTCCACATATTGGTCTTAACCTTTAGCATTTAGTAGATATGGTCAATATGGGGGAGCTCAAAGAGAGTTCCCATAGGATTGCTTGGCATTTTGGTCAACCCCTTGGGTGTTGGTCTGGAGCTAGTTTACTTACTTGCACACCACAAACTCTATCACAAACCACTCACAACCCTAAACCCAAACTTATTGACTTTGATCCCTTTATCTTTTGGGAGACATAAATGGTCCCCTAGACCCACTTGCCCTAGGCTAGGTTCTAGCCAAGACCAGTACATAGAGGACCCAAATGGAGGTTCCATTGGTCCATAGCTCAAATTGGGTGGTTGGCAATCCAAATTTTACTTAAGTACCCAACTTAGTCTTTTACCCCCAAACCTTAAAGTTGACCAAAATTCCCAAAGTTACCCAAGCTACCTAAGTTTGGCCTTCAATGAAACCCAATTTTCCCCAATTTGACCATTTTGACCAAAACCCCCAAGTTCAAAAATCATCTCAAACCATTTCAAACTACCCAAATTGCCCAAAACCTTCCAAAATTTTCAAAATTACCAAAATACCCCCAAATTTGCTATAGTTACAAAAATATTCTTGATGGCCCAAACTTTCCCAAAACCCTCAAAATCATTTTAAATGATTCCAAAACCAATGTTCACCCTTCAATTAAGCCCAATTTGACCACTTTGACCAAAAGCCCCCAATTGCCCTTAAAGGCTCAATTTATCAACACTCACCCTAAATGTCCCAAAATTTCATCCAAATCTCCTTCTATTTCATCTCAATTTTCCCCAATTTCAATTATAAACTCAAATTAATCATTCCTATGATCCTTTCAAACCAAATCCAAGCTTAATTGACCCATGCTTTGAGCTCAATTTTGATCTAAACCAAAACCCCAATTTTCACCATATGATCCAATCTCACCCAATTGAACCCCATAGCCCACTCAATTGCCTCAATTTGGATCCCAAACTCTTCATAAAATTCTTAATAATCAAATTGATCCCTCAGTTGTCCTTGCACAAGCCTCAATTCCACTCAATTTTAACCCAATTTCAAAATCCCCAAATTTGCCCCAATTTAGCCACATGCCCAAATTCCACCAAATTGAATGCCCTAATGCTAAAATTGGCACCCAATTGATGTTGAAAACGCTTTATGACATTTCTCTAGACCATTTTAAGCCATCAATTTGGACCTAGCCCAACCTTAGCTAGCCTAAACCCAAGTCCAACCCAACACCCCCAAATTGACTAAAAGACCAAATCCTTCCAAATTGAGCTTCCAAATTAACTCAAAACCACTCTAATTCTTCTATAAACTCTCTTTGACAAGCATCCACATAAAATTGATCAATAAATTGAGCTCAATAGTATGACTAGCCCAATCCAAACCCAACTTCAAGCCAATTTGACTCATATGGACCATTTCACCAAATTTAACTTAACCAAGCCAAATTGGCCAACCGCAGACCACCACAACCACTAGGTGCACCCTTTGGACCAAGCTAAACCCACTTGAACCATCCAGGCAAAGCTATGGACCAATAGTTCCTCAAATTAAGGGAGTTCATCCCATTTTTGGGTCTAAACCAAATATCTTCATCATCATGTCAAACCATTAAAGGTTAATCATAATTAACCCTCCCAATGGCTCACCTGACCACCTCCTCTGGACTGGCCAGCCACCCTAGTCATTGGAAAACCCTAAAACCAAGAGCCCCCAAAACTCCATCAAAACCCAATTGCACCCATCCAAGCTAGCCAATCCCAACTGGCTTTGACATTTTTTTGCCCCACACCTAAGCAATTAATTGAACCCAAATTGAAGCCCTGAGCTCCACCCGAAGCCCCTCTATTTAAGCCACCTTCTCCATGGCAAAATAAAAACTAACAAATTTCCTTGGGGAGACTCTATTTAATTGCTTCCAAACATTCTCCAAGAACTCATAAGCTCAAGCCCACCACTTTCCCCCTCTGGATTCCTATGTGAGAGCTCTATTTTGAGTTCAAAATTTAGGAAAAATCAAGACGTTTTCTATCACAGCCCCACATTACACTAGACTTCAATTAGTTGTGCACACATCATCCCTTGAGTGAGAGAAGTTGATTCCCCACAAAAGCCCCATCACTAACATAGCTCTAGACTAACACCTGAAATCCACATTGATCAAAATCATACCTAGACAATTCACCAGGACCTAAGACTTCATCTGGAGGTTCGTTGGACCCAATCAAAGCTGTCACAATCATCTGATTGAGGCCTACCCTCTCAGACAAAGGTATTGACCTTCAACCCTAAACTGAGCTTAAATCAATTCTCCATACGTATTTACTACATTTCATACCATATAAGTCATATATATATATGCTCGTCTTTAGTAGATGAAGGTTTAGGAACAAACCACATGCTATTTGGTTGAGTCTAGACAAAGATCTTAAGGTTTTAGTGTTAATGATTCTCAGGTTAGCTTACTTGGGGGCGATGAACGGATGACGTCCGATCACGCGTGTGTTGAATGGACGGAGGAGATCAAGCTAGATGAACCCTTGGAGCTAAAAGGCAGGCGGCGTGGTAGCTGAGGTGGCTGGCTGCATCAACTGGTGAAGCGCCATATGGCTTTTCCAAGTCGTCGTAGGTTGAGGTGGCACCGCGTGTTTAAATAGTAAAATATGGATTTTTTGGATTTATTTAAATGCATGAAGTTCAAAAATTCATATCTTTCTCTAGAAAAATCATAAAAATAAAATAAAAATATCCTCTTGCTCAGTAAACAGAGGAGAATAATGTGGACTTAAAGTAAAAATTTTTTGATGAATCTCTGATTTTTAATGAATTAAATACTCTTTGGAGTATTTTAATTCATTATGATCAAACATTGCTCAACATGATGATTATTTTAAGGTTAGAGGACATCTCTATGCTTCTAACTTTAATTTTCAAGCTAAGATGATTATTTTAGCTTATTTTAATTACATAAATTAAAATACCACTTGGAAAATTATAGGAATAATTTTAATAGATTTCTTATGGTCAGGGAAGTTTAGGAAAAATGTCTTGATGATTTGAATTATTTTGTATATTTCTATTGTTAATTAAATGTATATAACTTGCTTTAATTTATGTAAATTAATTAAAAATTGACAAAATATATTCCACATTGTGTATAAAAATTATGTTTGCCCACTGTAAAAATTTAAAAATTATTTAACTAAGCTTGAGCACTAAAGTTGATTTTCTAAGAAACCTTATTTTTTTGTACAAAAATAATTATATTAAATTAAATACATTTGGGAAAATTATGAAAAGTGATTTTTAGAGTTCCTTGTGATCAGAGGCATTTAGAGAAAATAAAAGTAATTTTTTAGAAAATACTTGATTTTTTAGCTTTATTTTTAATTTAAAACAATTAAAAATAACTAAAAATCCCAAAAATGCCAAAATGTTTTAAAATGTATATAATTGTTTTCTAATCACTTAGAACTCATTAGGATAGTTTTTCCAATTTTTCTTAGTGAAAAATAAATTTTTAAAAGCCTAAGAAATGAATTTTCCTTATTTCCCCGTTAAAATAATTATAATAAATAAATAAATCATGGAATTTTAGAAAAGTGTTTCTCTGACCCAATTGACCTCTAGTAATTTCATGGAATTTTGGCAAAGTGTTTCTCTGACCCAATTGACCTCTAGTAATTTTTCTCATGAAATAAAACTTTATTTTGGATAAGATAAGTAAAATAAACTTTGAAAATACTACTTTCTAAGTTTAATTAATTATTTAAACTAAATTAAAGATGGGACACGCTAAATTCTCAATCATCTGAATTTTGATTAATGAGTTATGATGTGGAGTGCCCCAAAGGTAGAAGGGTAACTTTAGATTTTGGTGCCTTAATTAAAATTTAGGATTAATCAAGGAGAAGATGGGTAATTTTGATCTTAATTATTATGTTTGAATGATTGAAATACAATGGGTAATAGGTAGGAACTCATTTGCCACCTTTTCCATAATGAGAACAAAATTGTAATTTCCTTAATTATCTTGACTTGGAAGTCAATTAAAATTAAACGATTCTCAA